TAGATAACTACAGTTTGATTTCTGCTACTATAATAAAATCCCCACTACTGGTGCTGCGTTTAGAAAAAAGAATAACCCCAATGATTAAACCATCTGCCACTAGACTCCTCTTTCTTAAAAAGTTTCCCTGAGTCCTAATCCTGCCAGAATAAGAATCAATATGGTACTTCTACGGAACATACTACAGCCAAACTACAGCACAGTGTAAGAAACAAAAAGAATTGACACAGACAGCACAGAAATTCTGAAATGATTACACTGAATTTAAAGGAGCTAGATGAAACTACTATATATTATTGGTTCTATTTACATATGTTTCTGGAGAATGCAAGCTATAATGTTATATTCTGGAGAATACAAGCAGACTAGTACCTGGGCATGATGTATGATAGGAAGGTAAGAGGAAGCTATTACAAAGAAATATGTAGAAACCGTTGTTCTTTTTGGGAGAGACAGGGTCTCAGTGTAGCTCAGGCTGGTGCTGAATGCATCAGGTAGCTGAAGATGACCTTAAACAATGGCCCTCGAGCCTTTTCTTTTCATGATCTGGGGTTATAGATATGGCTTGTTTGTTTTTTGAGATAGGGTCTTGCTATGTAGGCCTGCTTAGCCTCAAACTTGCAACTCTCCCGCCTCAGCTCTTCAGTGTTGGAATTATAGGCTCATTACTATGTCACAGATATCTACAGTCTACTATAAGCCAGTTGTTCCTCAGGAAGGTGTTTGAATGGATTAAATAACGTGGGATCACCCCTTCTGCGATTGGCCTGTTTTCACTTGGCACAGTATCTGCAAGTTCATCCATATTGTGCTGGCAGTTGCTTCCTCTTTGAAGATAACTAGTATTGAACTTGTATGCCACATCATGTTTATCTGGTTATCCATCCATGGGCACATGTAAGCCTGAAGGCTTGTCAACATCATCATTAATGGTACTGTGAGCATACAGTGCATATTAATGCAAACGAATGTCTTTTCACATCCCTGCTTTTTCTTTTTTGGGTCTATTGCCAGGATTGAAATTGACGTGTCATACAGTCATTTGAGTTTTAGAATCTTAGGAAGCTCTGCTTTCCACATTCCCAGCCAAAGCACAGGGTTCTGGTTTCTCAGCATCTCTGCCAATCCTCGCCATTTTCTGGACTCCCTAAAGCACATGAGTGTGGAGTGGGACCTCATGACGGTTTTGTTCCATGCCCTTGGATTAGTGCCGCCATGTGGACATGGTGCCCTCTGCCCTCATCACGCACACACAGTCATGAAAGTTAAAAAACTCAAAAGTCCAGTAACAAAACGGGAGGGTGAGATAAATACTAATGAAAAAAATAAAAGACTGATCAGGAGGACATTAAAACTAAGCATAATTTAAATAGGACCAACCGAACAGACCTTCTCAGATGTTATCTGAGCCAAGTTAACATCTTAAAGGAGCTGAGGGAGTGAACCCCTGTGGAAACCCAAGGCAGGTGAGTCCAGTCTGTGGACAGCAAGTGAGGACACACTGGGGAAGGAGCATTGCAGATGCTGGAGGGAAAGTGAGCCCAGTGTGGCTGGAGCAGAGTGAGGAACAGTGCGGAGGGGCTGGGAACAAAGAAACAAAGAAAGGAGTGGTTCCAGCTGGCTTTTAACCGGATCCGATCACTGCAGCAGCCGACTTAAGGTGGGTGTGAGGATTCCATTTGTATTTGGCATCCTTGAAAAAAGGATTCCATTATCTAGCCTATCCTAGTGAATTCAAAGTTCTATACTTAAATCCTTTTTTATCAAACAACAACAAAAAGATATTTATATAACATAACTGAAATTTTAAAGAAACCAAAACTTCCATTACATACCTCCCTTTTGTTTAAAAAAAAAAAACCGGCTTTCTATAACATTAATAAACTACATACAATAAGAATAATTATGAACATGATCAGGTAAGAATTAAAAATAACCACCACAGCCATTTTAACGTATGAGAGGCCCTGTCACTGTGTGGTTTCCATTTGCGTCTCACCAGTGACAGGGCCGCTGGCCACCTTTGCTTCCACTGGTGAGTTAGCAACGTGTCTTCTTTTGAGAAATGTCTGTCTGGGTACTTTGTCCATTTTACTCAGCTCTTTCTTGCTCCTAAGTTGAGTTACTCATAAACTGTGGATATTAACCTCTTACTGGTAGTGTGACACACAGTTGGTTTCTCCTAGTATACAGGGGCCTCTGCACTTGAGATTGTTTTCTTTGTTGTGCAAAAGTTTTAGTTTTACACAGAACCACTTAATCTATTCTTGGTTTTGTTACTCGTGTTCTTCGTACCATAGTTAAAAAGTCATTCCCCAGACAGAGCTCAAGGAGACATTTCCCTCATGTGTTCTACAAGTTGTTTTGTAGTCTCTGTCTGTTTGTTTTCAGCCCATTCAGTTCATTGTGCAAGTTAAGAAGTTTTGGATATGAACTGTGATAATTTACAACTGTGTGAATGTACTTAATGCCCCAGTACTATGCCTAAAAAAGAGTCAAAATAATAAACTTTGTTATGTATATTTTATTAAAACTTTTATTTATTTTTTTGAGACAGGAATTCAGTAAGTCCTACAAGATGTCTTCCAATTCACAATCCTCCTGTCTCTGATTCTGGAGTGCTGGGTTTCAGTTGTGCTGGATTTCAGTTTTTAAATTTATTATTTTTTATTAATTGCAGTTTATTGACTTTGTATCCCAGCTGTGGCCCCCTCTCTCATCCCCTCCCAATCTCACCCTCCCTCCCTCATCTCCTCCCATACCCCTTCCCCAAGTCCACTGATAGGGGAAGTCTTCCTCCTCTTCCCTCTGACCCTAGCCTATCAGGTCTCATCAGGTCTGGCTGCATTGTCTTCCTCTGTGTAAGGCTGCTCCACCACCCCCTACCCCCAGGGGGAGGTGCTCAAAGAGGCAGCCACTGATTTCATGTCAGAGACAGTTCCTGTTCCCCTTACTAGGGAACCCACTTGGACACTGAGCTGCCATGGGCTACATCTGTGCAGGGGTTCTAGGTTATCTCTATGCACGGTCCTTGGTTGGAGTATCAGTCTCAGAAAGGACCCCTTTGCCCAGATTTTTCGGTTCTGTTGCTCTCCTTGTGGAGCTTCTGTCCCCTCCAGGTCTTTCTATCACCCCCTTCTTTCACAAGATTTCCTGCACTCTGCCCAAAGTTTGGCTATGAGTCTCAGCATCTGCTTCAATACCCTGCTGGGTAGAGTCTCTCAGAGGCCCTCTGTGGTAGGCTCTTGTCCTGTTCCCTGTTTTCTCCCTCTTCCAATGTCCGTGCATTTGCCTTTCTGAGTGAGGGTTCAGGTCCTGCTTCTGGCTTAGCACACTTTTTTGAAGCAATAAGTAGATAAGTGTAAGGGCCGAGAGATGGTTCAGTTGTCAAAGCATGTGCTTTGACAGGCAGGCAAACCTGGTGTGCGGCCCTGAAGATGGCTCAGTGGCTGAGGTCACATACTTCTCTTGCAGAGAACTCGAGTTCAGTTCCCAGCATGCACATCAAGCAGCTGACAACTCTCTTAACTCTAGCTCCATGGGATCTCTGGCTGCCACCTGCACTCACATGCACACACCCTCTACACACACACACACACACACACACACACACACACACACACACACAATTAAAAATAATGTGTTTTTTTTTTTTTAAAGGAAGGAAGGTAAAAGTCAGGTGTGATGAGTGGTGGCTCAGGCCCCTCTAGTGCTGGAGAAGGATTCCTGGGCTGGCTGGCCAGCTAGCCCAGCCATTAATTGGTGAGCTCCTGGCCACTGAGAGTCAAGGAAGACAGCAGCTTCTGAGGAATGACACAAATGTTATCTTCTGACCTCTGCAAGCATGTGCACCCAAGTGTGTGCATGCATGTACACAGATGTACACACACATATACACAAAGTAAAAAAAATTAAGATTATTGTTATAGCCAGGAGTGACAGTATAGCCCTATAACCTCAGATGCCCAGGAAGCTGAGGCAGGAGGATTCTGGGCAACTTAGCAAAACTCTGTCTTAAAATTAAAACAAACAAAACCCATCTTTCACATATTGTCATTATTCTACACCCCCCCCCATGCTCTGGGAGTGATGCTAGGGCCTCACACATGGCAAGTCCTCTACCCCCATGTCATAGTCCTGAGTCCCAGCTTCTTTCTCATTCCAAAACAATGTTCTTTCCTGGATCACAAGAACTATTACTGAGTAAGTTTATTTAGGTCATCATATTCTGCCTTTAACCTTGGAAGAATTAAATATCTGTACTTACAAATATTTGTATTTATTTTGATTCTTGTTATAGATTGCTCTTCTCTGAGGAAAATGGCAACATCTATTTTTAGTGACAGACTAAAGTTTATACACAGGTCTGATTAATGGTATCTCTTTTAGGTTTTGTTTTGTTTAATCAATGTACTTCCTGGATCCTGGGCCTGCCTTCTTTGAGCTTCTATGTTGACAGGGATTTATTTCTGGATTCATTCAAGCCTGAGGGCCACTGCTTACGCCCACCAGGAAATTGGTGAACCTCAGGCATTAGGAGGCAACCCACTGCAGACAGATCAGAAGACGAGGGTGGGATGAAAGCCTTGCCCTGGCTCAGGCCCACGCCACCGCTCCTTCCCTGACCCAGGAAACCGTCCCCACCACACCGTCCCAGAGTCTTCATCAGCCTGGTGACCACGGAGGGGGCAGACAACACACTGGCTTCCCGAGCGGTTGCCTTTATTACAAGCTGAGGTGACCAGTCATTTCTTCGGCAGGAAGTACAACAGAAATATAGGATGGGACAGCTCTGCAAACCCAGAGAGTAACCAGCTCCAGGGCCATGACCGCGTACCACTGTTTGCCTGGCCTGGCTCCTGAGGTGCGTTCCTTACAGTGGCTGGCCAGAGTGCTGCTCCTGAAAGCCTCAGTGGCCCGTGTGTGAACCTTCTTGACCACCCCCTACCATCACCAGACTTGGGCTCAGAGAGGAAGAGAAGGGGACATGACTACCTCTTCTAGGAGTCAGTGGAATATAGCGTTTCATAATTTTTCTCAGAAGATTCCAACATGGAAGTCTTTTGGTAGGACTGGGCATAGGATTCGTCTGTGATGGATCCTGTTGTCTCGGCCTCCTTCAAGATGGGCAGCTCAATTGGTGAGGAAGCCTGCCTGCTGGGCATCTCAATGTGCTGAAAACTCTGAGGTACTGGTATAACTATGTTCTTGAATGGCACTGCTTTCTTCTCGGGGAATTTTAAGCTTTCATAGTAAAGTGCTGGAGTCCACGGACTACGCAGTATTTGGGCAGGAGGCTTTCCAAGTAAGTGTGAAGCTTCTTGAGTCTTAGAGTATTCTTTTGGGAGGTTTATGCTTTCAGTATCTGTAGGATAAAAAAAAAGGCACAAACACGGGTTCCTCAACTACTTCTCTTCAATCACTGCCAGTCATGGTGACATCCAAGTCCTCTCTCAGTGCTATCTCTTCAACCTTTGGGTTCTTTCCTCTAAGCTCTCCTCTCCCTCTAGACTATAGGAATTTTATTATGATCCTACAGCTCAGGATGGAAGTGAAGCTTAAGGATCGTCTGTGAGTCTCTAGCTTACCATAGATGCTCTCAGGAGGAAAGGAACAGCCTTTGGTCAGAGTTTATGTCTCATAATCTTTGGTTATAAACCGGTCTAAGTTTTTAAAAAAATACATTCTCAATTAGAATTACAATTATTTTTGTTTGTTTGAAACAAACCACCTAGCAGAATACAGGGAATCATATAAAAGAAGGGGAGTTAGTACGATGTGGAAAAGATAGGAGCTCCACAAGGACCAAATATATCTGGGCGCAGGGTCTTTTCTGAGACTGACACTCAACCAAAGACCATGAGTGGATATAACCTAGAACCTCTGCTTGGATGTGGCCCGTGATAGCTCAGTAACCAATTGGTTTCCCATAGTAAGGGGAACAAGGACTATCTCTAACAGGAACTCAATGGCAGGCTCTTTGACCTCCCCACCTCCCAAGGGAGGAGCAGTCCTGCTAGGCCACAGAGGAGGACTTTGCAGCCAGTCCTGAAGATACCTGACAAAACAGAGTCATATGAAAGGGGAGGAGGTCCTCCCCAATCAGTGGACTTGGAAAGGGGCAGGGAGGAGATGAGGGAGGGAGGGTGGATTGGGGAGGGAATGAGGGAGCAGGATACAGTTGGGATACAGAGTTAACAAAATATAACTAATAAGAAAAATTAAAAAAAAATTAACAAATAAGAAAAAAAAAAGGATCAAACAAACAAATCTCATTTGTGGCCCAGGAAGGCTTGGAATTCATTATGTAGCCCAGGCTGGCCTTGAACTTGTGGTAATCATTGTACCTCATCTCTCAAGCACAGGGATTACAGGTATGAACACCATGCTGGCTATAAAGGAAGCTTTTTAAGGACGGAGCTTTGACTTGCCATTATCTACATAGTGCTTCAAAGCGTGTGTCACAAAATAAATGCCAGATAAATCAATTTTGTTTTACTGATAAGAAAACATAGGCAGTAAAGGCTTATAATAATGGAGTAAGGAAATTAAGGCCAAGTCTACCAAAGAGAAACAGTGAATGTGGACGATCTGTGAAAACATGAGAAATGTCAAAATTATCAAGGCGTTACACTGTGATGAGAAACGATGCCGCCAACACCCAGAAGCTGAATTTGCCAAGCAGGGTGCCCAGGGGCAGGGCGGGACTTTCGCGTGGGTGCATTCGTTCGGTCTGGAAGGAACAGCAGTGCCAGCCCCAGCTGTTTCCTTGGAATCTATATCCTGGCCCAGCCTCACAGATACACTTCCCTATGGGACAAAAACGTGAAATAGCCTGCACTTCCGGGCCTTGACCAGCAACCTAGCCTCCCTGGGATTCCTAACAATAATGCCCCAATGTCAGCAGAAAACAGCCAGCGAGAACACACCACTTACCCAAAACCCAGCGGCATAATGATAAATCAAAAAGGTAGGAATGAAGCCAGCTCAAGTGTGGCAGGCACGGCTCTTGACAGGCCTTGTCCTTATCCCTCAGCCCCCTGCCCTACTGAAAAACTGTTAGACTACATTCCTAAAGCTACTCTCCAAGGTCTATTCCCTTATTTGGCCACTTCCTCCTCTTGAGATGACTACCAAGGTCCAACTATCAAAGAATTAAAGCCCAACAATCAAAAACTCATTTTGGCTCACCTAATATGCCCAATTAAACATTAAACACCTTATCCTAACACAGGTTTCCCCGTTTTTACTTTATAAATCACCATTTTCCAATGGGCCATGTCTGTTTCCTCTATATCCAAAAGCAGTCCTTTGCCCCCTCCTCTGGGTCAAATATCCCTTCCCTCTTGCTTGTTCTGTTTCCCTTCTCCCTTGTCCTCTATCACCTGTTATTGTCTTTTGTTCCCTGCCACTTATTCCTCTGGGACAAATGAATCCCCTTTGTGCCCAGAACTTGGTTTTGGGGGGTCTTAAGCTGATACAGTTCCTTACCAAATAGAATTATAGCAGATGCCCTCTGAGGGAAGATGTGGCATCCTTCAAGTGGCCATGTTGTAAGATGGGGCACCCTGGCCAGTGGCTCACAGCAGTGATCACAGCACTCAAGAAGGCAGAGTCAGGAGAATCTGGAGTTGGGGCTAGCCTAGGCTACACATTGAGACCCTGTCTAAGGAAGACTGTGGCACTTTGCTTTATTCCTCAGACCAGACTGATCTAGGCTTTGGTTTTGTCAAGGTCCTGCCTCTGTCCAGTCTTTGTTCCTTCTCTGATTCTAAATTTGGTCCTATACCCTCTGGATATTTCCTGAAGCTCCAAAACGGCCTTTTATTGCATTTACTTTCTGCTTAGATCAGGCAAAATTAGTTTCTGTAACAAACAATTATGAACTATTTTAAGAACTGTATACATTTAGGTTAGAGAGGTTATAATAACACTTTTGGAAAATCACCAAGTTTAACTTGAACCCATTACATTCATGTGCTGATAGGAAAATAAGGTGAGTAGAAAATAAATCTAAAGTAGCTGCTGTTTTTAATAGTTCAAATACATGGCCAGAAGAAATCAAGGAAGGCAGAGTTTGTTTCTGCTCATGGTTTGCAGGAGACTGTCCATCCTAGCCAGGAAGGCATGGCTAAGAGAGCATGAGGAAGACGGTCACACTGAGACCAAAGTGAGGAAGAAGAGTGGGATGGGGCCAATGGTCGCCTGGCTTTCCTGCTCTTTCCTTCCTTCCATTCAATCTTGGCACCTAGCCCATGTTAAGGGTGGGGCTTCCTCCTCACTTAAATCTGTCTGGAAATGTTCCCATAGGCACATCCTGATTGACACACATTAGGAGTGCTTCCTACATGAAGCACCGCACCTTACTCAGCCCTCTAAGAATACAACACCAGCTTCCCCTCCCTCCCTCGCTGGGTCTATCTAATCTCAGTGATAGGTCTCAGACCCGGATCCTGAGGTGCCTATTTAACATATCACAGTGGACCTGGCCACCAGATTCTCCCAGCATCCCTCAGTCCCTACCTGCTTCAGGGCCCTCCTGGATGGTATACCCTGTCCCCTACCCTAACCCTTTCCAGTGCAGCAGCTGAGCCGCCCTTCCCAATATAATCCAGCTATTTTGCTATGCCAGTCCTTTCGGGTCTTTTCCTCTGCCCTTTACCTTCCTGGCCTCTTGGTCTGGCTCTTCCCTCTACCCACTCCCTTCTCCTCTCATTGCCAGGCTCAAGGCCATGTTCACTCTGGACTCTTCCCAGACGTCTCTGCCTCTGGCTAGGCTCTCCCTTTTAGCTACAGTAAGCACTTTCCTCCACCATACCTAGGAGTAGTCTTGTCCTTCCTTTTTACTTCTTCTTAAAAATTCACCTGATGCTAAAACCCAGGACCAGTCATGTCCTATCCATTTTTATTTCTTTTTATCATTCATCTGTTGCCTAATCCCAGGAGGGGCATAAATGAGCTAAATGTGTTCTCTCCCAAGGCGCTGGGCCGCTCTGAACCAAGCTGCTGACCTGCCTCTCCTAAGGTGTGTATGGATCATTTGTTTGTGCTGGCTTCTGCCGCCCACAGATTTGATTCCAAATTCTGGAGTCCTGTTCTTCCACTCCTGCTTCCCTACACCTGCTTTCTAACCATGTGTCTCTCGTCTCTCTGGGCTCTGGCCTGCTGTGCCCTCCACATTGGCACCTACACATTTCTCTGGCTCCTGCAGCATGCTCCGCCTCTGTCCTGCTATGCCCGAGTGGGCATCTCCCTTTTCTCCTAATCTCCCCTCTCCTTCTCTACTAGATAAATGATACTATGGAGCTCCATGCTGCAAGGAAAGTTTTGGTTTCTTTGTGAATTCAGTTGTGTTATAGAAATCTGTTTTTGTTTTAATCCCAAGTATGGGATTTTAGTTTGAGCTTTACTTTGTCCATAGCTGATAGTTATCTTGTGCAGGGTGTGGCTTTTGCCAGCTGGTAATGGCCTACCTCCTGCCTCATGTGGCATGTAGAGGGGCATGGCCTAGGGCTCTGGGGGAGATAAATTTGAGGGCCCAGAAAGAGAAGGCATGGCAAGTGGTGCTGGCACGTGGCATGTAACAGTTTGGAGAGACCGGAGACTGACAGTGAGGCAGTTTTCAGCAGACAGATGAAGAGAAACACTTCGAGGTGCAGCGGCTTGGAGGAGACTGGGGGCTGCATTTGCTGTTAACGGGGATTGATTGGTATATCTCCCAAAGCCCCTTCAACCCTAAAGAGCCAGGAGAAGTAAAGTGTCTGCAACCCCTCCCCCCACCCACCTTCTCTCTCCTACATAGGGATGGGAGATTGGAAGGCAGGGAGAGGCCTAAACACCCCAAATAATGCAATTTTAAAAACGAGCACTACATCCTGCAATGTCTACTTTTAGTACAAAAACCACACTCGTGTGCCAAGAAGCTTCCTCTCGCCCCAGTGGGCTCCAATCACAAGGCAAGGGATGCCTTTTCTCTGTGACTTGGGACATTTTTCTCTCTGACAAATTTCTCATTCTACTTGAGGATGCCCAGATGGAAATTCTTGTCACAACTAAATTTTATCCAACTCAGCTCTTGAAATATTTTTCTGAACAAACATTTTCTATCTGAAGGGGGAAAAAAATGGCTGCTCCTAGGAATAGTTAAAGATAAGGTTTCATTGTGTAGATATGAAGGAAAACACAGCCAAAGCATAGACCTCAATATGCTAACAGGCACCTCAAGAGGAGGTTGATGAAAGAGCCACGTGTTCCTTTGCTGGAGATAAGGAAAAAGACTACTTTCAGCAAGGAGGCATTATTTTAAGTCCTGGAGGGAATTCTGGCTTTTTTCTAAATGCCAGAATTGGGAAAAGTAACTTCTTGAAACCTAACACCATCTTTTCCTAGAAATCTAGCTTTATCATTCCATGTTTGAACTCATTTGTTCTTTCCTATTGTTAGTAGCAGAGACTAGACGGCAGCCTAGCATTTCAGGACCTACATATACTCTTTCTGCACTCTCCAGCAGACACCGCTCACAACTGCAGCCCAGGGAAGCACTTCTAACCCTCACAGGCATGGAAGACACTCTGTCCTGGACCAAGGTGTCTGGTTCATGATAGCACCTGCAGCTTTTGCTTGCTTCCTCAATGGCCGAATGGTACAGTCCCTACTCTCTCTTGGGCCACCCACCTAAGATGATTTCAAGTTCTCTTCAGCTGGAACAAAGTAGCTACCCAACAATGTAATGCATGAACACGCAAAGACACAAGCAACTAAACATCTGTTCTGGTAGTCTCCCAGGGATAGGGACTTAGACATCTACAGTCTAAAGTAGACGGTTCACCAGAACCTATGGCAGTCTGTATAGTTCTGACCCTTGGTATCTGTAAGACTGGTTCTGGGATTCCTTAGGGAAACAAAGTCTGCAGATATCCACAGATGCATATAAAGCCATGCACACCTTCCCATATATTTTACATCATCTTTAATTATCTGTAATGCCCAAATGATATATAATGAGCTATACTGTGTTGTTTAGGAAATGCAGTTATGTGCTCCATAATGATGTTTCAGTCATCATGAATTGAACATATGATACTGGTCACAAGAAGTCACAACAGAACTGAATTCTTATTTAGTGACACTTCTGCCATCCTGAGTTATAACACAGTGTAGTTAGCACACATCTGTGGGGATATCAGTTACATAATAGGTATAGTTTGTAATTTGTGACCATGATGACAGGTGACTGCATTGTCATATTTATGTATTTTATTGTTTTTTTTTTCACATGCTACTTAAAAGAGATTACTGTTAAACAGAAGGTCTTGCCAGGCAGCTAAATATCATGTTGTCAAGTCTCTAGACTACATCCTTTGCTCATGTGCTCTATTTACTATCATACTCTTTCACTTATCACAGCCCTAGGAACAATAATCTTCAGACATACAGACACACAAAGAAGTTTGTAGGAAATGCACTCTATGATGTCTGCACAACGATAAAATCAGGTAAGCAAGCATTTTTTGGAAAGCACACCCATTCTGAAGTAATAAAGACTGACTGCAAGAAAAAAAGCTGTGTGTGTTCCATAACCAGCCACCTTACAGGGCCTAACTACATAACTCGTATCAGCAACAACAGAACTTTTGTTTCCACTGGTGCTTGGCTGAGTTTGCAGATGTGAACTCAAGGACAAGGGGACTGACTAAATTTCCCTGCTTCTCCCTTAGTCCCCAACCCTCAGCTCTCATCAGGGACATGGAGAGCAGGTCCTGTCTTCTTGAGGTACTGTAGAGGGACAAAGGGAAGGAAGGAGCAAGGCTTTTGAGCTTACCTGTAGACGCAGTAGCAGAGGCTTCCAGCCACCTTTTTTTTTTAAGCTCTTCCATCCTGGGAGGAAGCAGACCATATATTATCTCACAGGCCTCTTTCAGGCTGCTTTCCTGAGGCAGTGAACAGAAGGGATGCACTACCCAGCCAGACCCTCACCTGAGCAGAGGCCTGGGCTCCTTCCCCTTTAAAGGCTGCTAGTCAGAATGATGGAGCTAAAGAACCACACTCTACCCAAACGTATATCCTTCTTCCAGGCTGTTCTCTTTCATCTCAAAACCACAGTCCTGGGGCAGCAGAGGTGACTCAGTGGTCAGCTCCCAGCATTGGTTGCTTTTCCAGAGGACCAGAGGATTCACAGCACCCACCTGGTGGCTCACAACCCTTCTGTAACTCCAGTTCCAGGAAATCTGACACTATCTTCTGGCTTCTGTGGGCATGACATGCAGCCAAAACAACCACGCACACAAAATAGTAAAATACTAAGAGCATACAAAAACAAAACCCTGTAGCATTTGTCCCACAAGGATTCTTAAATGTCATTTTCTGGACAGACATAAAAAGGAATATGGTCCAGAAAGAGAAAACAATTTTCTCAAGGTCACCCAGGAACTAAGAAGCAATGCCAGGGCCACCTCCCAGTCTTCCTGGCCTGTGTACCATGCTCTGTCCATTTCTCCCAAGAGGGGAGATGGAGGCCCTTGCTGGTCAGCTGCAATCCCTGTCCTTTCTCAACAGATCACACTAAATCCACAGTAAATGCCTGCCTGGGCTCCAGTAAGAGTCCTTATTTGAAAAGAGGTGAGGGAGGGAGCTGCAGGCAGAATAAAATGAGAAGCGTGGATTCTAAACCCACTTCTCCATGGAAGGTATTACAACCAAATAACTGTTTTCTCAATTCTCTATAAGAACCCTTTTATTATTTTATTACTTTATTTAGAGAAATTTTTCATTTAGAATTATAAATATATACTTACCAGTGATAATAAAATACACAGGAAATGATAATCGCAGAAGCAATGTCCATGAAAAGCCACATGAACGCATAGTATCCTGGTGTCTGCAAAACATGAAGCAACTGAAGGTGGCTACATTGCTCTATAACTGAACGCTTTTAAGTCCATCTACTTGAGCTGAGCGCCCATAAGAAGTGAGGGCAAATGAGACCACCTCTAGCTCCTACAGCCACCCTCACACATGCAGGGGATCTGCAAGGAATTCAACTGCATCATGCCCCTCATCTTCCCTGACTCTCACGGCAGACATCAGTGGGGTCACACAGAGGTCACACACCAAGTCTGTTCTGGACCAGGCCTCCAGTCCAGGTTAGCTGACATCTTGTGCTCTTCCGTAAATGGTCTCCACAGTAATGCAGCTCTCTAGGGTTACCTAGAGACCTAAAGAAGCAAACCTCCAGGCCCAGCGCCCCCGGTGCTAGGGAAGCAGCTGGCCGATGGCCCAGGGCCTGGGCACCGCCACTCTCAACACCCTTCCCTGCAATGCTGAACCATATATAACTCCCTTCCACTCACACCCCTGCCCCCGACCCTGCCAACACCAGCTCTTTATCCCAACACTCTGGGACCTCTGTCTCCTGCGCTGATTCGCGTGGGTTTTCTAATCCCTCTATTCATTGCTCCCTCCCAGTGTTACCTGATGCTATGGAAGCTGCTGCTTGTTAGTCTTTCTTAAGCTTTTCTTCCCAATCCTTAGCTTTCAAAGGAGCAAAACTAAACTTTTCTTTTAAAAAATATTTATTTTGCTTGTGCCACATGTGTGCATACAGGTGTCTGCAGAATCCAGAGGGGGCATTGGATCCCCTGGAACTGAACTTCTGGACAGTTGTGAGCTGCCTGATATTGGTGCTGGGAACTGAACTTAGGTCCTTTAGAAGAGTATCAAGCATTCTAAACTGCTGAACCATCTATCCAGCTCCTAGACAGTTTTTTTAGTGGGGAATGGTAAAGTGTGTCCATAGTCCCAGCTACTTGGAAAACTGAGGCAGGAGAATGACTTGAGGCCAAGAGTTTGAGGCATATTGGGACTCCCTTACAACAACCTGTTTCTGTTGCATGCTGTTGTGTCCCAGGCACTGAAATCACTATCCAGACAAGAAATCCAGGCTCTGCTGCAGTACTTGGCTAGCCACAGCATTCCTTCCAACCTCACAGGTACCAAGTGATTAGATTTAGCTGTGGCTGCAAACCAGGTCTTCAGGTTCACCAAGCCAGTTGCCAGAGTAAGGTGGCTCACCTCTTTGAGAGCATTGTATTCAAGAAATAGTTTTTTCTTTTACTTTACAGTCCAAAGGATCAAGCTTTCTTCCCATAATATACCCTGTTGTTGCTGCCATTCTTTTAGTGTGTGTGTGTGTGTGTGTGTGTGTGAATGTGCTCGCACATGCTTAAGCCTGCAATAACAAAGTTCTAGAGTCAGACTTCACTGTCAACTTCTATCGTGAGAACACGCACCAAACTACCTGTAAACCCCAGTTTCCTAATGGGAATAATAATAGTAATGTTTAATTGCAGCATGCGAAGTGTATTGTAAAGATTCAACAAATAAAGAAGAGTTTGGGTGAGGAGGGGAGAAGGCACATCTCTGTCACTCACAGGTGACTCTGTTCTAAGTAGTTTAATAGGGAACTGCACCCAGGGCTGCAGACGGGAGGGAGATACAGAGCACAATCACACCAGGCTTAGAATGATCTGGACACGCAGCTCACCATGAAGAAGAGAGGGTGACGAAGCTGCTGCAGGACCTCAATGTTGTCTGTGGTCACAGAGTTGATCCTCAAACACCAGGCCAGTGAGAAGAGCCAAGGCTCATTGACAATGTACACATTGATGTGGATTTTAGCTGCCTTATACTCTCTGGAACGAATACAGAGCCCACAGAGGGTTTCAGCTCGGTTGTATTCTCAATAGCAAGAGGAGAACAAGCACGTTTGTGAGAAGCTACCGTGTAAATCAACAGGCAAACAGCTGTTCCAAGGACAGCTTAGGATTCACTGTGACAGACCCTTAGGTGAGGAAGGGGCTGGTCTAGTCGTCTGCTCCTGTAGCGCCAGTGGAGTGCTGGTGAACAAAATGTCCTAAGGCAGATGCAGCAAAACAGAGAAAATGGAAAGATTCGGAGGGAACGACAGCAGACAGGAAACCCTTTTTACAGTATTTACCAGTTTGCAAATATTCCCACCACAACCAATTTCAAGCTACAGCTGAGAAAAACAATTTACGGAGGAGTACATGGTTCCTGAATGGCTGCTTCTACAAGTCACTGTCTGTCACTTCAGGCATGTGGGTTCCATGGGATTCCATCCTAGAACTGCCCATCCTGACTCTGATGACCTGCTCGCTTACCACTTTCTGTTTGACTGTAAGCAAGTTACGGCAGAATCCATCGTAACTTCACCCTTCTCTGTGTACCCTGGCTCAGCACCTACCTCCATGTGGTAAGGATTAATTGAAAGAAGAAAGTGAACACCAGTGTGGTGACTGTTTTAACATCTGAGTACAAAGGGTTTTGTGTTTTGTTTTGTTTTGTTTTGTTTTGTTTTGTTTTGTTTTGTTATAAGAATTGGGTATGAGAAATCAAACCCAACTTTCTATAAGGCACTAAGTCAGTGGAGGCCTCAGCCTGTCTATAGAAAGGAAGAGTAAGTTAAGGAAGGACTAGCAAAGCAGGCTAGGTGTCCTTTCAGAGCTCCAAGTTCTCAGAAAACACACCAGTGCCTTCCTTTGCTGCTGCTGCTCTGCCTGTGGGTCAAGATCAGGTGTAAGTGTTTCCCCAAGTACTTTCAACTCCAATCCAGTAGTCACATCAGAAAGTCCAAGTCTGGCACCCCCTAGCAATGAAAGCTGTGTGTTTCGGAGCTGAGACGTCAGCTAATAACCACACCTTCCTGCAGGAGGTGCTGCCAACTTCCTACTCATGGGTAAGAACTGCCTCTAGGTTCTAAGGGTCATCTAAAGAGAAAGCTAGAAAGAACTGAAAGGGGAAAGGTTACTGCTTTGTACTGCTTAGAACTATAACTTAAAATTCAGTGTTTCTAAATATGAATAAGGACTGTAGAAACTATAATTAAAAACATAATAGCCTTAACAATTACGCCAAAGGAAATGAAATACTTAGGTATGAATTTTAGAAAGCATTAAGGACATTATCCTAAAAATGATGAAGCACTGATGGAAGCAAGCAAAGAAAACACGCCAACAGAGCGATGTTCATTCAGATTGAGAACCATCAGAGCAGGGCTGCCAGCTGTTCCCTAGCTGATCTGTAAGGTCAGTGTGAGTCCTAGAGAAGGCTAACTAAGGTTTCTTCGCGCAGTTAGGTCAGCTGGATCCAAAACACACATGCAGAAGCACAGCTCTAGGAAAAATCAAATCTTTTTTGAGGTGTAGGGTGGTTGGCAGAGTCTCACTCTATAGTGCAAGGTAGTCTTAAGCCCACTACGTAGCCCAGGCTGACCCTGACAATCCTGTCTCCCATATGCTGGGGCAAACAAACATCAATCTAGAAAAAGAGTCAGTGAAAGGGAATCAGCCACCTTACTTGGCATTGAAGCTACATACAACTATTGTAATCAAGACAGCGAGGTGCCAGAGCAGGAACAGACATGTGTTAGTGGTCCGCCACAGGAACTCCAGAAATAGACCTACACAACTGTGCTCAAATAACTTGTGACAAAGCAAGTGAGTGGAAAAGTAGATTGTCACCAATTTGGAAGGCCAGAGACACTCTCCTGAAAGAACATTAAAATCTCAACCAAACCTCAGACTGTGTATAAAAGTGAACTCCAGATGATTTGCAGGCTTGAGTGTATGATGTAAAAAGATAAACCTTATAGAAAACATAGAAGAAAGGAACTGTCAGCTCTTGAACTCATAAGCCAGCCTCATCAAAATGGAAACACTGCTCTTTCTCTGCGGAGACCTTGTGCTCTGTTAAGAAGATCCCACAAGTAAGACACAGGCTAGGGGAATGCATTGCCTTTTATAAAGATTTATTTGTACTTATTTATTTGTGTGTATGCCTGACATTAGTGTGCAGGTGCCCATGGAGTCTGAAAGAAGGTGTCAAATCCCCTGGAGCTCCAGTCACGGGTGTTTCTGCCCTCCCAGCATGGGTGCTGGGGGCTCTGGGCACTCTGGGAAGCTGTCCACTGGGCACCCACTGGGCATCCACCGGGCATCCACTGGGCAACCACTGGGCCATCTCTCCAGTTGCAGGGAAATGCTTTGAAACCCTACCCAACAAAGGGTGAGAAGAATCCTCGAGATTCAACAATAAAGAAAAGTAATTTAAAGGAAGAGACCCATGAGGAAATAAACACAACACCATTAGCCTTCGGAGAATACATGTTTAAACAAACTGATATTGCTACATGCCTGTCAGAGTAGAAAAGACCAAAAAATGACAACACCAAAAATTACCAAGGATGCAGAAACTCTGGGTCATGGTGTTGGCAGGAATGTGAAATGGTACATCCTTCCTGGAAAAGTCTGATGGCTTTTAATGAAACATTCAATTACTATACCCAAGGATTTGAAATCTTGGGCATTTATCCCTGACCTAAAGACTTAAATTTGCATGAAATCCCCTACACAAATAGATGGCAATAATCAGATGTCCTTCTGCTAGTAACTGATTAAACAAACTTTGGTATATGCCCTATTGAACACTATTCAACAACAAAAAGGAACAAATTACAGATAAACACCTTGGATAAAAATGATAAGTGAAAAAATAAATTAGTCTCCACATAAATATGAGTTTGTTCATTCTTAAAATTCACATTATAGACATTTTTCCAGGGGTTAATATGTTAGGCTGGGGGTGGAGAGGATGGAAAGACATAAAAGTGGCTATTGCAGGACCGTATCAAAAGATACTTGTGATGATATTCAAGGCATCGTTTTCACTCCCAACTTCACTGCAGCATTCACAGTGTTCACTGGCAATTCACAATGGCCAAGATAAGGAATCAACCCTAGTGTCCACCAAGAGATTAAGAAATGGATTTTTAAATATGGTGCTTATGTGCAATAGAATACTACTTAGCCTTTAACAAAAGGAATTCTGTTATCTGCCCCAATATGGATAAACCTGGCAAACTATGTTACATAAAATAAGACCAAGGTAGAAAGACAAATATTGTATGATCTCACTTAACTACTGAATCTTAAATAATCAATTTTATAAAAGTACAGAGTAAAATGTATATACCAAGTATATAAAAATACGTGTGGAGTGTCTAGAGAGATGGCCAGCCCGTAAAAGCACTGCCTGCTCTTCCAGAAGGCCCTGGTTAAAATGCCAGCACCTACGCGGAGGCTCACAACCACCTTGTAGCTGCAGTTCCAGGGGATCTATGTCCTCTTCTAGCCTTCCTGGGGCTGCACATGTGCACACACCACACGCCAGGGAAACACACACAACATAATACATGCATCTTTAAAGTAGGTACTGAGCGGGTACGAAGGAGCGCCACCACGCATAGAAAATGTTTGCTGTCGAAAGAAGGGAGTGAGGAGAAGCAATGAGAAAACAGAGGATTCAAAGGTGGTAGGAAACCAAATAAAGGTGAAAAGGAGCTAAGTAGAACTGATATTTTGTGAATGTTATAGCAACAATGCATGCCAAGAGGGGTGGTCAAACACTTACCTCAGCCCACCATAGAACAACCTTTTATAGTCAACATTTATTATAGTTATATTCTCTTTCATAAGACGATCATTGGACCATAAACGGCCCACGTGCTGAAAACCAGGAGCCATGCTCCTGACGTAGCCCCTATCATGACCCGGCAACCAAAATATCTGCAAGAAGAAACAGACAGTCCTTCAGTGGATGGTCAGCCTTCCTCACACAAACATCCCGGGGAGAATGGATGAAGCTCCATCCCTGTAAACTATTGGTGGTAGTCTACAGGAGGCAGGGGAAGATTCTAGCTCTTCACTGATATGATCAAATTACTTGTGTTGTCTAATAAACTCTTAAAAATGGGGAAGGTTGCTGTGGAATTGAGTTTCCCCAGGACCTTTCCACCCTCTGATTAATAGTAAGTCAAGGGCTCAAGTGTATAGAAAAATTCATAGAAAGAGTAATTGAGGCCCAGAGATGTAGCTCAGGTAGAGCATCTTCTTAGTATTTGCAAGACCATGGATTAGACACTTAACAGAAAAAAAATACTGATAGATATGAATGTTAAAGAACAATCCCTTAGTTTCTGATGTCAACAGCTAACCTTGAAAGGAGCTACTTAGTTGTTTCATGGTAACAGGGCTTCCTCTGTGACTCCTCTGTGGAAAGAGCTCTATTTGCAAGGAGATACATACTTGTTTTACTCACAGCATTAATGTGTTTTGAGAAAGTAAGTAATTTGAAAATGTAACTTTGCAGATAAAGAGAGTGATTCTAAAATAAGAACCCCAAAACAAATGAGGACCAAATCTCCACTCAACTAAGAGCCAGTGGTTGTTCTGCATGATTTTCAAAGCTAGTCCTCAAAGCCGCACTTTGCTGAAGGCCCGTAGGCCTAGATTGAGCAAGAGGCAGATCATATCAGAGTTATTTTTTGTGTGGTTTTAGGGATTGAACACATGGTCCCAACCACACAAGGGGAGGATTCTGCTGGTGAGCTATATCCCCAGCCCTCTTTAAAAAATTTTAATTTTAAGGAAAAGTCTTGCTGTAAAGTGTACAAATTGGCCTTGAACTTACTCTATAGTAAGTTCGAGCTTTAAATTTGCCTTTCTCTGGCCTCAGCATCCAAAGTAGCTGGAATTACAGTTATGTAAGAGCAGGCCCGCCATATATACATACACTACTCTTTTTTTCCTGGACACGTATATATGTATGTAGCATGAATGTGTGAATGTTCAGATAGATGTGAATTTACATGTACACGTGCACACGCGTGCCCATACATGTAGAGGCTGGAAATTGACACTAGGTAGCTTCTTCATTGTTTTCCATTTAAGTTTTGAGCTGGGGTCTCTCACTGAACCTGGAGTTTGCCAATTCCAGCTAGTCTAGTTAGCAGTACTGCCCTGTGCTCTCCGCCTCTCGAGTGCGGGAATTACAGGTGGCTGCTCTGCCTGTCCAGCTCCCACGGGGCTTCTGAGCATCCAAAGTCCCACCTTCATGCTTGCGTGCCAAGTGCCTCATGCATGGAGCCATCTCCTCAACTCATAAATCATTCTTTAACAATGCACCAATATTGTATTTGGTTTAGAATAGCAAACAGTCTCAATATTTTTCCCTACTGGAGTCATTTTAACTGGATCATTCTTGGACTGCCATCTGTAACTGTATAAACAATAATTTCCATTTCCAAAGAAGGCAAAATCATTGACAGATCTCAGAGAAGACTTATCCTGTGGGGAGCCTCTGGTCTGCCAGGCTGCTTTGTTATTTTGATCTCAGCAGAAAGACATGCTTTCACCCTGGCCTTCACTGGAGTCAGTGATAAGCTGCTGAGCCTGTCTCCTTTTGTTTGAGACAGCAGATGGGATGTCTTGTTAAGTTCACACCTTTTGTTTGTGTGAGGATCACACAGACAGGTGGTTGAAGTAAAGAGGTCTTGACTTCCCTGTGAATTCAGTCATGTACTGAGGTGCTTTTGCTCTGACTTAAAATGGGACTACTGGAATAAACTGGCCACTAGTTTTCTCCTATAGCCACCTCGGAAAGAGCCCATGTGCAGTGCGTTGGTTTATTAATTTTTCTTTCAATCCTCACTCCCTACTCAAGAACCATTCGACTCTGCCGGTGGGCTCCGGCATTATACCATAGGTTAAATTCAACTGTGCTCCTAGACAAGCTGCCCACCTCCCGACTCTGCCATAAATACTTAGAAACACATACCAAACGTTGCTCAATTTTGGAGTCAAGGATGACCCGTACTACTTTTCGCACGAATGTGCCTCTGAGGGGATGCCCTGGTGGAGGGCCAAAAAGATCAAATATCACAACCTTCTGTTCCTTTTTGGCAAGCTCCAATAAGTCAATCAGCCGTGCAATTGACTGGTTACTTGCTCTTCTTTTATCAGCCTCTGATAGAGATTTCATGCCAAAAAATGGCTTATGCTAAAAATAAATATATCAAAGAAAATGTTAGTTCTTGCTGACATGTTACTGTGCACTGTGTAAAGCTTACCCTTGTGTATTCAAATGCTGACTTTTCCGTCCCACTATCTGGTTTCAGTCTGGACATGGCATTGTCATGTTTATTCTAAGACTCTCCTGTCTCAATTTTGTGTAAACATGCTCACCATTCTTTCTCTGCTTTGCCCATAAAACTAGACAGCCAGTACCTAGACATTAGAGAGAATAGGGTGGGACTTCTATTTCCAGCGAGGGGAGGAGAAAGAGAGAGGAGTAGGAGATTGCACCACAAGGAAGAGAGGTCCAGGAGGCACGAGGAGAAAGAGCTGATTCCAGAGAAGACCAAATATTATGGGGACTTGGGCTGGGAGGAAGACAGGTTGGCTATGGAGCATTAGAACAGATTCATAATGCCCATTACTGCACTCACACCTATTTAAATAAACCATAGTCTCTCTGTCAATTATTTGGGAACCAGCTAGGTTAAAGAAAAGCTGCTGCACTACTAATTTCCAGTAACTTTACTTAAATATTAATATTCATTTAACAGGTTCTGGTCAAAGCACTCCCAAGCTTCCTGCTCTGTGGTTCTGCTTCCATATTGCTCCCATTACCACTAAACCCACTGCGCCCTCTGACATATAAGGGAAATACAATGTCATCTCCATTGGTGATTTGAGGGTTTGGGACGATTTCTTTGATATTCTAAACGTCTTATACCTGTACCAAACGTCCTCCACGTTCCTAACTTTCCTTTTTAGTCTTTTCTTCTGTAACACACAGCACCTACCCCCTTTCTACCACACTGCCTCACCACGTGGGCTCTTGCTGTCACAGTTTTCTGGAATAGTAAGAACACATGCTTTGGTTTCAGGGCTCGTTGGCTTTAATTCTAGCTCTGCCACTCCCTCATTTGTTTACGATAATAACCTGCTAAAAATCTCACTCTACATGTTCAAATGCTTCCTCCTTCATGAAGCTTTTTCTTAAATATTCCCATACTTATGAGACTTTGATAGCAAGAAGTTCTGATGGCCCATTTTTTTCTTCTATAAATTTATATCATGTTCTGTCTTCCATAGTACTCATATACATCTTGGATCACAGTTAAAATCCTCACTCAGTACACTTCTTGATGTTCATTTAAATTCAACCTTATTCAAGTTTTCACTGGCATAACGTAGCCAGATTCTTTGCCAGAATATCATAGAAATGGCTTCTAGCCCAGTTCTGGATAGAACTCTTGCATCTCTCTAAAACCTCATAAATTGGGCCTATACCATCCACATTTCTCTTCATATTCTTGTCTTCCAAGCTCCTACCAGAATCACCCATTAAGCTCTATTTGCAGCATTCAAAGGCTTTTCTAGGCCAAAATCCTCCTATAAACCAGTTCCAAAGGCCTGAAGACCACATGGTCACAACAATGGACCCCACTTCTCAGTGCCAATTTTCTGTATTACTTTTCTCATTGTTACACAAAATTCTCATCAATAAGCAATGCAAAGGAGCAAGGGTTTATTTTGGCTCACAGTTTGAGGGTATAGTCCATCGTTTCAGGGAATGCATGGCAGCAGAAATTGGGGCATCTGGTCACATTGTGTCTGTGGCCAGGAAGCAAAGAACGATGACTAGCTAATGCTCAGCTAGCTTCCTCTTTTTTATTCAGGGAACAGTGCTGCCACAATTAATGCAGTCATTTCCAACTCAAGTAACCCAATCAAGATAATCCTTTACAGGCATACCCACAGGCTAATCTAGACGATCCTTCAAAGACATGTCAGGAAGCTTATCTCTTGGGTAATTCTAGATCTTGTAGGTTAACAATCAATACTACTCTTGTTCAATGATCTTAGTTTTAATAGCCCACACTATAAAACAGGAAAGTGATGTAGTAATCTATGTATTTCTTAGAATTTTCTTTGAGCCAAGATCTTGCTATGTAGTTTAGAGTGGCTTCAACTTTATAATCCTCCTGCCTCAGCCTCCTGACTGCTGGAGTTCTAGTTCTATGCCACCACAACCATCCCTTAGAATTATTTTGAAGGGTAAGCTTGTATCTGATAGGCTTATTAGTAGACTGGATATACTAAAAAAAGATTCTCTGAACTTGAAGGTTGGATGAAATAACCTACAAACAACCGAAAACCCAAAGGAAACAAAGACTGAAGCCTATCAGATCAGAACATACAAGGATGATAAGATACAACTAAGAAAGGTAAAAATATCTACATTCCCATGTTCTTAGGAGCATTATATGTGGTAGACAAACATGAAATCAACATGCATCCATCATGTTGGAATGGATGGAATACTATTTAGCCTTAAAAATAAAGAAATTATGTCACTTGAGATAACATGGATCACCTTGCAGGACATCACGCTAAGTGAAGTAAGCCTGGTATAGTGAAAGATGCTAGTTTCATTAATGTGTGGGATTTAAGAAGGTTTTACTGATAAAGGCAGAAAATAAAATAGTGATTGCTACAGAACTGGTGGTAGTAATGGAATGCTGGGGAGATGTTAGTCAAAGTATACAAAACTTTATCTAGACAGAAAGAGTGATTTCAAGAGCTTTGTTTGCTATATGCTGACTATAATTTTAAACTTGGTGGTTTTTTTAAATAATAATACTAGAGCATAATTGAAGCAGTCTCACCACACACAAAAGTATCATGTATGGTAAAGCATGGGTTAATTAGTCTGATTGATCCATTACATGATACAGACAGATTTCAAAACAGCCTGTTGTGACGTGGCATGTATCTCAGTGGAAGAACACATGTCTAGCATACATAAGACCTTAGATTTGATCTTCATCACTGCAAAAGCAAGCAAGCAAACAAATAAACAAAAACTGACTATTATATACCATGAGAACACACAGTTAATTTTTATTATCTTTTAGTGTGTATAGGGATGTGCTTAGGTGTGTAGACATGTGTAGGTATAGGAACACGTGTTGAGCATATTCACGTGTGTGTGCATGTGGAGACTGGAGGTTGATGTTGGACATCTTTCTCAAATCTCTCTCCACCTTATTTTTGAGACAGGATCTCTCCTGAAACCTGGAGTGTGCCGATTTGGCTATCTGGTTGGGCAACAGTCTCAGGGTCCTTGTGTCCCTGCCTCCTCAGTGCTGGGACTAGAGATATTAATCATCATGCCTGGCTTTTTACATGGTTACTGAATGTACAAATTCAGGTTTCCATGCTTGCATCCCTTAAGTTCTTTTTATGTGTTGAATACACTGTACATCATTTCCAGCATGCTGCTCATGGGAGTGGTGAAGAGAGGCACTTTGCTTATTCCTCATCTTTGGAGGCCAGTGTTCATCTTCTTACTATGAGGAAATGGTGTTAGTTGGAGGTGTTTTGAAGTTCTTTATTTTCTACTCCTAGTTCATTAATAGCGTTCCATCACAGGAACCAGGGAAATGGTTTAGTCAATAGAGTGCTTGCTGCACAAGCCTGAGGCTCTGAGTTCAGATCCCCGTGTGAAGAGCCAGCTGCGGTAATGCCTGCCTATAATCACAGTACTTAGGGAGCATTGACAGGAGGGTGCCCGACACTCGCTGGCCAGTCCCAGGTTCAGTGAGAAACCTTGCCTCAAATAAAGTGGAAACTGCTTTGGGGAGATAATCTAACAACAATCTCTGGCTGCCATATGTATACACACATGTGTTCATACATGAACACACACGTACACACATTTTTCAATACAAGTGGAATTTTGCTGAATGCTTTGATATATAAATTTAAGTGATTACATACTTTTTCTTTAGATTATTACCATGATAAATTATACTGAAAGAGTTTTCATGCCAGGCATGGTGGCACACACCTTTAATTGCAGGAGGCAGAGGCAAGCAGATCTCTGTGAGTTCAAGGTCTGCTTGATCAACATAATGAGTTCCAGGACAGCCAGGACTATATAGAGCAGTCTTATCTCAAGGAGAAGAAAGAGTTTCATGTTGAACCAGTGGTTATTGATTTGAGAAGCTTATTTAGTTGAAGTGTTTTCTGTCTAAGTCCATATAGCACTGTCATCATGGTTAAAGACAGTCATTATTTCATGACTAGTTTGCTTTTGAGACAGTCAAGCCTCACCTTAGACTCACCGTGTAGCTCAGGCTGGCCTCACACTTGTGATCCTCTTTCCTCACCTCCTGAGTGCTGGGCCTAGAGCTTGCACTGCCACATCTGACCATGATCAATTTTGTATTATGTTATAACAAACTAACACAAACTTAGTGACTTAAAACAACATAGATAATTTTTTTTTCTGTGGGTTTTGTTTTGTTTTATAGATCAGAAGTTCTTTATGGGTCTCATGTGGCTTAAGTCAAGGTGTCAACCAGGTTCCACATCACTCCAGAGTCTCTAGAGAACATTTGTGCTCAGTCACATTATTGGCAGAAGTCAGTTCCCTGTGACTTGGGGAGCCTCCATAAGTTGAGGCCCTGACATCTTTTAGGAGTTATCTACGTTCCTTGGCGCAAAGGCTCTTTCTTCTATCTTTAAAGCTTGCAGCTGATGGTTGAGTCCCTGACACCCTTCGAACCTCTTTTGTATCTCTCTTCTCCACTGGTAAAATCCTTCTGGTCACATCTAAGAAAGTCTTTTTTAAAGGACTGAGTAGACAGGGGTCATCTGGAAAATCATGATAATTTCCTCTCCTGAAGGTCCATAACCTCGATTACATGTGCAGAAGGCTTTTACCATGCCCAGTAATATATTAATAAATTCCAAGTTTGGGGCATGCACATCTTTGGAATGTTGTCAGCCACTTCTTGCTTTATCCTCTCTGCTTCCAGTGTGTGGATGAAGATGTGGTCAACCAGCTTCTTGCTCCTGTCACCATGCAATGCCTTTCCTGCCTTTAAAGGTGCTCACTCTGAAACTATAAACTAAAATAAATGCTTTCTTCCTTAAGTTGTTTTTTATCATGGTATTTTATCACAGCAACGGAAAAGTAACTGATATCCTAGTCATGACTATTCATTTGAGAATTTTGTTGTCTTCTACTTTTTGATGGGCATGCAATGAAGACTTTTTTTTTTTTTTTTTTTTTTTTTAATCTGAAGCTGGGCAGTGGTGGCGCACACCTTTAATCCCAGCACTTGGAAGGCAGAGGCAGTCAGATCTTTGTGAGTTCAAGGCCAGCCTGGTCTACAGAGTGAGTTCCAGAACAGCCAAGACTACATAGAAAAACCCTGTCTCGAAAAACAAAACAAAAGTCTGAATATTACATTATGCTTCTGTAAAACACCCTTGGTATTTTGGTCTTATCTCACTGACCCCTCAACTTAGAAAGAAATGCCTTTATTCCACCCCTACTTCACATGGTGATGCATCCATTTGCATATATTCCATAATCTGTTACCCTTTTTTTTTTTTTAATGTGCTTTAGTGTGAAGATGTCAGACAGTTGTGAGCGGCTATGTGGGTGCTGGGAATTGAACCTGGGTCCTCTGGAAGAGCAGACAGTGCTCTTAACCACTAAGCCATCTCTCCAGCACCTCCATAATCTGTTTATTCCACCTCTACTTCACATGGCGATGTGTCCATTTGCATATATTCCATAATCTGTTTTCCTTTCTCTGCAGTCACGGTTAGCAAACTGTGATAGCAAGGCTTCAGGATCACAGTTAAGGATATATTCTAGTCAGTCCAATACGACAAACCCTGGGTCCCTATTAAAGACACAGATGTAATTGACATTTGAAAAAAAATACTAAAAATCATTGCAAAGCAAACTATCTGGTTTATTGTCACAGTGTTACATATAGAAAGACAATAACTACTTCTCATGAAATCAAGAAAACTGCCTATATAAGTATTAGGTTAAAAATACTAGTGAAGATGAACTTATTATTTTACAGTAATAATGATGAGATGATTTCTGAAATAATTGGCACTATTAGATGATCAGAGCCAGAGGAGCAGGGAATCTGCTAAGAAACAGTCTCTCCTAGAAATGGCTGCATGAACAAGACTGGAACAATGACATCCATGGACAGGCCTGCCTCCATGCCACCGTGTTTCCCACCATGACAATAGACTGCGCCTCTGAACTGTAAGCCTGTCCCAATTCAATGCTTTCCTTTATAAGAGCTGCTGTGGCCATATTATCTCCTCACAGCAACAGAGACCCTAAGACAACAGCAAAATGATTTACTGCAAAATATTACCCCTTTAAATATTTTAAATCACAGATAACATTATTTCAACTGCTACTGACACATCAGAAGAAAGCAAAGAAAGTCCCATAGTGAAACTTAAAGTTTCCCAAATAAACCAAATCTGAACTCCAGGTTTCACAGACATAGTAAAACTAAATGCTACATACATACCACTTAACATCCTAAAATAAAGCTTTTGGTTAAAAAAAAAAAAAACAAACCCACCAAAATCTATCATAGCAACACACCTAGTCTTACCACTTATAACTAAACTCCGAATCTCAAAACAGAAAATGGCTGGGCTTCCATTGCTCTTCTGAAGCTTTGAGGCTCAAACCCAAGACTTTGAATATTCCAGGCAAAAGCTCTATCACTGAGCTACATTCCCAGGCTTAAGAGATGTATTGAAGGAAGGTTTTGAAAACCCAAACCAAGAACATATTTAACAGAAACATTAACTATTACATGCCACAGGCCTCAGGTGGAATCAAACCAGGGAAAATAACTATTGTTGTCTTTTGGTAATGAAGACCATCAAGTTCCAATAAGAACAACCCAGAAAAGTTATCCATTAGATTAAAATACCTCACACTAAACATCAAACATCCCAGTTTAATGAAACTTCGGCTCATCTCTAGGACTATGTTTAATTCTACAAATCCTAATAAGACTTTTGGAGCAATGTTGTATATGTCTGATATAGACTGGCCTTTTCATGTTGAAGGCACATTGTTAAACATTAGCTGGGTCAGCAAGATGGCTCACCAGGTAAAGGTACCTACAACAGCCTCTGCCAGCAAGCCTCATGACATGAGTTTGGTCTCTGAGACCTACATTGTAAGATGAGAGGACTGACTCCTGCAAATTGTCCTCTGATCTCCTCTCCACTCGTATGCTCACACACACATGCACTTATGCACACACACATACGTAATGAATAAAATGTAAAAGGGAAATGATAAAATTCTGATGATGACTGGCAAATCTAATATGCATGCTAATGGAGCGTTTATAGTTTTATGTGTTCATGTATTTATGAATCATGAGGCATATCAGATATATGTAGAAATACATTTTATATATAGAAATATGGAATAATCTCATCATTAGTACTATGATTATCTGAGATTTGGCACAGGGCTCTGTAGCCCTGGCTTACAGAGGTCTACAGCCTCTTCTAAGAATCGGGATTAATGGTGTGTTCCGCCACACCTGGTCATCGCTTTCTTTTCACATAAGGAAGTAGCATTACACTTTACATCCTCCTACAGGGACAAACATTTTGAGGAGACATGGTTGTTACAAATCTACTTCCAGCTATCTCTTACATTAATAGCCGTTAGAGTGTGAACTGGGGTCTGTAAAGATAAGATCATCTTTACTTAATCCTTCACTGCTTTTTACATGATCATCCAGCTCTTAGAATGAGAACATGCTGTTTATCCTAGTAAGATGGTTATTTTCAAGATCAGGGCCTCTGATGACTATAGCTGGTTGAGTAGAACAGAGGCTTCAGGAGTTTTCCCCAGTCACATAAGCTGGAAAACATGTTATTTTGTTTATCAGGAGAGCAGTCTTGACCTTCCACTGTACTCTTCACCTCCTTGAATTTACTCTAGCTTGTTATTTCAACTTTGCCAAATCTCCCCTCTGCATGCTTTATTGATTCTTCTCCCAACTATTTCTTCCTTCAGTCTTCTTTTTCTATTCTTTCCTCCATCCTTCTTCCTGCTCCCCATACACACACTGGCTAATGTAACTCTGAAATACATTGCCACCATCATCCATGGTTCTCCTTGGTAACGATCTTCCTGTAGCATAATAGTTCCTTGATATACAAAACTTCCTTAAGAAGGTGACTCAAAATAATATTGTATATGATGTATGCTTTATATATTACTATCTCCTTATTTAGCCCATCTTCTTCCAGAGTCTCCCATCCTGTTACATGCTTCTGAAACAATGAGAAGTTTACCTTAGCTGGCAGTATCATATTGTATAGTAACTGCCCATTCTAATGCTCCTCCCTTTGGGCTGTCAGTATACTTCTTATAACGCTCCATTTGGGTTATTCGTCATCATATCCCATGTGCCTTGTACCCAGTAGATACTTAACACATATTTGTTGAAAAGCAAGAACTCAGGAATAAATGTGTCTCTTAGTCTGCTTCATAAAGACTGTGAGATACTCAAATTACTCGGAAGGTGCTATGTGCATTGCAAACACACTATCAATGACTATGAAATACATAAAATAAACAATGAGGGTTGAGTTTCCAAGTTTACAACAGCCTTTCTCGTATATGCTGACCCACTGTATCACCAGAAAATGTGATAGCCCTGCTTCTAAACTAGGAGGGACTCTGTATGCTCTTAACTTCTTTACCTTTCACCCTTATCTCCAGGAGCAGCACATGAACCTTCAGAGGAGGGCTTCCACACAAATTCACAAAAGCAGAGGATGTGAGTCTTACCTTTATGAACCATTTGCCGGCGTTCAGAGTTGACAGGAAAGTCCAGTTGAAGTTGGCAGTGTGGTTATAAGCAGCTGATGGAAGGACCTCTTTGATATTGGTTGTTCTAGTCAAGTCATAGTCATGCATGAGGAAAGGCACATGATCAAAACTGCAGACAGAAGCGGGAAAGAAGGGAAGAGGTACAAAGAATAAACCTGGCCACATGGCATAATGATTCCCCAAAGCCCTTCAGGGTTACAAGTCTTGCCAGGCTTTTTCATGCTTTCTCAAATCTCAGCAAAGGACTACATGCATGTCATTTATACAGATGTCAGCATTTTCCTGCCTGGGAATCAATCTTTCACAAGTATATATTCCTGATACCAGGAAAGCAGAAGGTACAGAAATGACCTAACAATAAGGTGAATGGGGATGGGTATGAGGCAGGGCCCCAGGACCATATTAAACATACTTCCACACAGGCTTTCTGTGTTTTTCTGAGTCTTTTTCCAGGATAGCACCTGTTCCACATTGGCCATTATCATAAAACAAATTTCTGATTCCTCTACTTCCTGGTTGTTTTGTAGAATCCTTGACTTTATGAAACTCTCTCTTCCTTTCTCATTAAGGCAACCATCAAGAGAATATCTACAATGGTCTTGAGATATTAAGGGCTATTTAACTTGTTACAACTATAAAACTGGGCAAAATAAAGGGAGTAACCGTCAAAGAACATTTGGGATTGCAGTGTTTTACATCTGAGAAAGCGGGAGCAAATTAATTAATCTACACTATTACACATGCTTCCTTCCTGTGAGTAGTAGAGTTTTGTATAAGAAGGGAGAGCCCAAAGGGACCTAGCTATCTTGCTGCAATGGGAAGAAAGATATCAGAGTAGATAAAGTTTCAATTTATTGACTACAGTCCTATGGAGGATGGAGCTATGCAAAAACAAAGCCAAACAGTTCCCGAGCAATGCAAACCGAGGTCTTGAGGCTATGACTAAGCATCAGTCTACACATAGAAACTCTGTGTAGCTCAGCAAGAACAACTAGGGCTGATAACACAGCTCGATGGTAAAGGCATCTACTGCCCAGCCTGACAGACTGAGTTCAATCCCCACAACGCACATGGTGAAAGGAGAAAACCAATCGCCCCTAGTTGTCCTCTGACCTCTACACATGTGCTATGGCATGTGTGTGCCCACGCAATACAAACATAAACACACAACTACACAAATGCAATACAATTTTTTAAAGAAAAACTTTCAAGAAAATTATCAGAATCTCCAAAATTGCAGAACTCACATGAGGTGTGACTCAGTCAGTTCCATCCAGCAAGAGAGGAGAGACCTCAATAATTGCATGGGTATTCTTTAGAGACTCCAGGAGGCCACACCTTAGAAATGAAGACAACTTAGAACTAGAACAGTGGACATCCACTTAAGTACTCCAAAAGATCTCTTAAGACATAGGATCAAATTAGTTACAAGTACTTCATCTACCTGCTAGAAAAAAAGTCCAACATGCTTTAAAGGGAAACAACAAAACAGAGCGCATCCATGTAAAATTACAATGTCTGGCAAGCAATAAAAACTTACTAGAGATGTAAAGATGTAATATGTGAATATATGGCAGGGAGACCCTTTGACAGAGGCAAGCTCAAAAATGAAAGGTAACAGGATTAGACAAGGATGTTAAGTAATATACAATAATATTATAAATTCCATAAATAACATTCAAAGGAAGCATGAACATAAAACACGTATAACTCTGGTGTCATAGCACTCAGGAGGTTGAGACAGGACATGTTAAGTTTAAGGCCAACCTTACCTACAGGCAATAGCTCACATGTGTGTGTTTGTGTGTGGGGGGCATAAAAAAGAAACTGAAATTCTGCAGATGAAAACTATAACAGCTGAAGTGAAAATTCTGCCGGATAAATTTGCACCTGAGGCTGGGAGCGGCCCAGCGGGGGAAGCACTTGCTGTGCAAGCGAGAACCTGAGTTAAGATGTGGTATTTTTCTTAAATTCTAGAGGGCTCTACCCTGGCTCGCCCCCCAATAACCGAGGGACAGAGACCTATCAAGTTATTTAAACATCTTTAACAAAATAACTGAGCTGGCATGATTTAAACTAATTTTCTAAGATAGTTTGCCTATTTCCCAGTTGTAATCCCCAAGTTATTTGCCAATCAGTGGTCCTGTCTGTACTGGATCTGCTCCGTCAGAACATGTCCTCTCTTTTCCATCTTCTTCCTTTCTCTTCTCTCTCCCCATCACTTCTTCCAGCATCATGGTCCCTACTTCTGATCCCCAGACCAGGAACTGAAGCTCTACTTACTTCTATTCTGTCCAGTAATTGGCTATCAGCAACTTTATTAACAAATCAGAGCTAACAGGGGAGCAAAGTTTATGCAACATCACTTGAGAATGTGGGGGGCTGGACTGTAACCAGATCGAGGGGGGGATTGGAGGGGGGTAGCATTTAGCATTTGAATACACAACAGCACCAGACCAACCCCAGCATTAAGATCCCTAGTACCCACAAAGAAACCTGGACACAACACACATTTGTAACTCCAGCACCAGAATTGGAGAGGTAGATTCTGAGGGCTCCCTGGCTATTCATTCTAATCTAGATAATGAAATCCAGCTTCAGCAAGAGATTCAGTGTGAGACAGGTTCCAAGGACCATGCAGGAAGAACAGCAAAATGGCATTAGAACTCATGAAATGTGGCCCACTATTTAGCACAACCCCAATGGTTGTGCCTCAGAGATGCAGAGCTCCAAAGACTATGTGTCCTGAGGACCTCATGCTGTTATGAAGCATTGCTCTGCTTGTTGCTCTTGTGTCTTTACATCCTTCTTAATACATGAGTTGTAGGAAAACTCTAAGGAGGCTTCCAGCCCCTCAGTGGGCAGAATCACTGCCTTTACAATACTAACGGCATTGTCGTTAGTGGCTCTGATGTAGAAAATTTTAGGGAACAATTTGAAGTTCAGAAAGGCACACTCTTAATAGCTGAGCTAGAGACTTTGTCGTTGTTTTGAGACAGGGTTTTTCTGTGTAACATCCCTGGCTCTCCTGGACTCAGTTTGTAGACCAGGCTAGCCTTGAACTCACAAAGATCTGCCTGGCTCTGCCTGCCTAGTGCTGAGATTAAAGGCAAGTGCTACCACACCTGGCTTGAGTTAAGGAGGTCAAAGAACAAGAACAATAGCAGCCCAGCTGGTACTGGCTGACATGCCTCTCTCTTGCTGAAGCTGGGTTGGTGAGCAAGATGATGATTAATTTCTTGTATCCATTTTTTACCCTCAGCTTCCTGATGTGATTTAATAAAACATTATAAATGAGTAGATGTGCACCCTGAGGATTTAAAGTAGAAATGGCTGATTGTTTTTATATAAAAGTTTAGATTTGTGATTCTTTTAAGATTTTTATAAGATTACTTTTTAAGACAAATTTTAAAATAATTGATTCTTTCTTTGTAATGGCAAATTGCAGCCTGGCAGTTAGAGAAACTGGCTGAGAAAACTACTTTGCTTGCTTACACTTTGTTAATCTATAACAGATTGCTTAGTTACAAATGTATGTGGGTTCTTGGGAATCATTTGTTTTCTTCACCTGTAATACATACAGTGTTTTCATGTAAAAGTACTGAGGAACATACTGTTTTCCCACGATCATTCACTAAAAGAAAAATAGAATGTAATCACATTGCTATTTTCATACTGCTTGAAAGACTTTGCTGAGATATATAAGCTATGGTTAAAAAAAAAAGTTTGTTTTTGTTTTGTTTTTTGTTTTTTTAGCTTGCGCATTGGAGTTTGCCCCATTCACCCAAAAGGTATATGTGTATATATGTAAAGATGGTAGAAGCCTGCTCTTTGGAGCTTTGCTCCATCATTCAGTATGTATTTGTGTGTGTGTGTGTGTGTGTGTGTGTGTGTGTGTGTGTGTATGAATAAAGTTGTTGGAGCTTGCTAACTGGAGCTTGTCTTGCTTCATATTCTAAGTGTGTGTGTGTTTTTGTTTATGATTTTTTTTCTCCTTTCTTCTTTTTCTCCATCACTGTCTACAATCAGTACCAGTCCCCAGTCACCGATGCTCTGCCTCAGTTTACCCTGTGATGTTGAAGCTGGCCTTCAATGGGCAAGGACATAGAAAATGATAGAGGAAAGAATGCCAATGTCGACTGCTGCTGGCCACATGTGCTTACATAGGTGGGTACTTCTATTGCTACCACACACAAATGTACAACAGATCACCCAAGAGCAGCGAATCTGAAAATGGAGCAACAGCATGAAGCATAGAGCCAGAAGCTCTGGCCCCCAAAGCCAGGGGGTGGTTTATCTCTCAACTCCAGTAAAGGACTCAGAGCTAACTTTATGTTTTCTGGCTCTTGGTTTTGCTGTTGTTGTTTTGTTTTTCTTTTTTAAAATGTGTGTGTTTTTGTTTTGTGAGTGCTCTGTCTGCATGTACACCTGCATGCCAAAAGAGGGCATCAGATGCCTTTATAAATGGTCTTGAGCACACCATGTGGTTGCTGGAAATTGAACTATGGACCTTTGGAAGAACAGCCAGTCCTCTTAACTGCTGAGACATCTCACCAGCCTGTTGTTTTGTTTTTCAGGACAGGGGCTTTCTGTGTACCCCCTAGCTGTCCTGCAGACCTTTGGACATTTTCACCACAAGGAAATATTTGCAATAGGTACACTTAACCTGATTTAAATTTTATAGTATGCATAAATATTATATAAACACCACACAATTGCCCATATTGCCGGGAGCACTGCATGCAGAAAAGGCCTATGGCAAGCAAGGAGCTTCCTGGAAGCAGTCCACTAGTTTTTGCACAGCTGACGAGTGGGTGTGTCCCTGGTTTAAGCTAAGCCCTAGGAATTTTGCCTCGAAACTGCTTATTGTTGCTCTGTTGCCTTCCTATGTTTGTCTCATATGTCTGGCATAATGCATTGGGGAGATTTCCTGCAGAATCTTACAAAGATGATAATTCCTGATAATGGTTCCTGACTTGATTTACATAATTCCAAACCCTCCTGCAGTATAGCAAAATCTACTAGGAACCATATGAATTACACCAGGAAGAAAAACAAGGCTGAAAAAAATTAATGATCAAGGAAATACATTCATTCTAGGTTTAGTCC